CCTGAATTCTGCCATCTCCACAAGGTCCTGAAAATTTTTTCATCACAGTACCTCTGTTCCAATGCCAATGTCTCCCATGGTCGTCAGTTCCTGAGCCAATAGGTCCTTGCCTCTGTGGTATCACACTCTGCAGCTTCCCTTGTCTGTGCTGTCCAGGGTTGTCTCTAGGGTCTTGTGGGAATCAGGATGCCCCCTCTGTTCTTGCTCAGTTGTTTTTATTCCTCCCATTGGCCAATCCCCCTCAGGGGGTTTTCCACGGTTTCTGTCAGGGATGGGTGGGCCCAGTAGTTTACCAGGAGGAAGCTTGTGTTGTTTTAGAGGTGTGAGCGTGGGGACCCTAGGTGTAATAGGCCCTTATCACTTCTTTGTTTGCTTTCCTGTTCTCCCTCCACCTCCCTTGGTCTGGTTCAAACTGGCTCAGCGACCCTCTCTCACACTTCCATGCATCGGTACCTTATTACTTCCTGAACGACCTGGGTGTGACCATTGTTACTAATTGTTCCCACTACACTGTATTCATTAGAAAACCTGAAGCTTCGATCTTTGGGTGAGAGGCAACATTGACACAATCCTGGCAATCACATTAATCACATCCTGTTACTGCCTCAACGGCCCACATCCTGCAACATATGTAAAACAGTTTCTGCATTCATGTATCTAATGCAAGCTTAGTCTCATGACAAATACTACTTGTACTCCTTGTCGTTATTTCAAAGTATTACTGCAGTTGAGAGAGTTGTTGTATCAGCTTGAATGTTGTGTATGAATGAAACAAGGTTAATTATGAGCTGAAAAGTGGAAAGAAAAAAGGTTTCTGCAACAGAAGCCACACTCACTCATGTGATAACCCAGAGATATGCTTCTCTGCAGTGTGCGAGTGTGGAATAATAATAATAATAATAATAATAATAATAATAATAATAATAATAATAATAATAATTGCTTACACTTATATAGCGCTTTTTCTGGACACTCCACTCAAAGCTCTTTACAGGTAATGGGGACTCCCCTCCACCACCACCAATGTGCAGCATCCACCTGGAAGGGGAATCCAGAAGGGGAATCTGGAATCCCCTTCAAATTTCATGGCTCCTGCCTCCCACAGAAACCCAATTCACACTTTATGAAAACTGACCGTACAAAATGGCAAATTTCTAGTAAATTAATAGCAAAATGGCTGTGTATTATATAAAATCATTATAGGTATATATTATTACTTTATAACTGTATATGTCTTACATATGTATGTAATTTTTTCTATGCTCTCACTTTCTCCTCTGAATGCAAAGCTAATTTTACTCTATACAGTATAAGATTTCCCTGTAAATCATATTAGAGCATTTAATACAGCTTTATGTAGTAGTGTAGTGTAATAATGTACATAAATGTCACTATTCCAGATGGAACGAGGAACAAAGATGTCTCTGGGAAACAGCTTGGAGTAAAAGTACCGTCTTTTCTAAACCAACGTACTTGAGTAAAAGTCAAAGTGTCCCACAGACAAAATACTTTGTCTTGGAAAAATGTACTTAAGTACCGTAACAGTTCTGCTTCATTACTTCATACCCTTGGTCTCAGTACATTTAAAAGTCTGCTTGTCTGGAGGTTGTGCAGAAAATCTGAGTGACCTGTGTCATTTGTGTGGTGAAGCTAATGTGCAAGCAGATGATCAGAGCCCTCAAATGGAATGGGTAAAAATCTTCTTTCTTTTTTGAGGTCTGTGGGTTTGAATAATGTCATTGTCACTATAAATCATATCCCAGAAAATTCTTCTGCAAAGTGAAAATCAGATTTTTCAACTGTGCTAATTCTCCGGCCACAATTCGTATGAATTCCCACCACTGACTTGTTAGCATTCCATGCAGCGCATGAGTTACCTTTACTGGTTTCATCCTCAACTTTTTCTTTACACCCTAATGTTAAAAACAGAGATTGGCAACCTAATGTCTGTTTTAACATTCTTCTGAGCCTCCCTAGTTTGTGCAGTATCCCTTTGGTGAAAAGTGATTTTATTTCTTATTCAGAGCCAATTATAGAGTTTTTTTTTTCAACAAAGCTTCTTATTAGATGCTATAGTGCAAGAACAATGGTATTGTAGCACTCTTGGGTTCACGTGAGTATGCACCCTCACCACTGCCACCTCAGGTCAGCCCTCCACCACTGGGGACTCAAACCCAGGCCTCCAGCATCACTCAACAGGGACCCAGCCAGTTGAGCTAAAGGGAGATCTTCCCTCAGCCCGGTGGCTGAGGTCCCTGCTGTTCACAGGGAAGGGTGGTGACATCACCGCACTGGTAAGCCGGCTCGCACAACTTGCAATGTCGACTGTATGCGTTACAGTATTTTCACAAAATGTAACATGACTCCTAACTGTATCTGACAGTCTGTCAAGATCAGATCTTGAATTGAGATGAAATGGGAGTTGCACAAAACTCATTCTCCTCTTTTTCCATTTTTCTGTTACAAGTTGCATGTCATACCTGCAGTTGCTGGTTCCACATCATTTGGTGGGATTCGAATCATATGCAGTCATTGGCACTTTTTTGTGTGCAGCTTATTAAAAAAAAGAAACCAATTTAAAAAGTATGTTTGTGTTTTGTGTGGCATTCACTGGCATGTAGACAGGATTTCAGATGCTTTGTATATGTTTTGATAGTACTGAAGAATGTGAAATTTTGCAGAGGATAACAGTTTCCACACTCGCTCTGTGGAGAAGGAAATGCCTTGTTTGTCTTGGGATCCAGTGGCCGGATCCGGCCCAGAGGCCCTGTGAGGGTGTGGGAAGCAGAGGTATGCTGGTTGTGTAAGTTGGGTTTTTTTGGGAGACAGCAGCTACGACGTTTGCAAGGAATATTAGATTTCACACTTGCACACTGCGGAGAAGCGTATCCCCGGGGTATCACATGAGTGTGGCTTCTGTGGGAGACTGACATATGTAAAGGAATACTATTGTGTGAAGATAACATGGCTAAGGTGAATTTTTCTGCCTACCAACAAAATATTACAGGCAAAGAAAAAACCAGAGCAAACTGTCTTTTCATGTTTATTTCAGTTCCTCTCCTGGAGATTGTGTAATGCACATTAAGACAAAATTCATAGTAAGACGTAATTCCTGATTAACACCTAACTTCTCATAATTGTAAAACTTAAGTAAACCAGAAATTCAGATTGCACGTTTACTACGCACAAACAATGCTTGTGTGTTTTGTTTTTGTTCAGACGTGCAAATAATTGTAATACGTAAACCTGAAATTTCGAATTGCGCGTTTCCTACAGACAATACAAAATGTATGCACGAACAGGCAGACAAATCGTACCTCTGATTTCCACTGCAAATGCGCACTTTGAAAGGGGATACAGATTTTTCACGGCATACTGAATTCGATACAACACCAAGTCATACATACCTGAGCTACTCAGTCACTGCACCCACAGGCAACGCGATTGTGAGTAGGTAGAAACAGGTAATTGTTTACCTGGCAACACGTTCAAACAGTTGTAGCTGTTCTCCGGGACAGACTACTTTTGAAGACCGAAAGAGCAATAACTCCTTTCATTAGATCGGGTCTTCAGAAGTGTCAGTAAATTTTCACCACACTTACCTACAGCTAGCAGTTGTGATAAAATCCGTCTTTTAAACGGAGATTTCGTCTTTCTAGATGTCGGTCTAACCAAACCTTATTTCATAGTAACTGCAAATTTGTCAATGGGGTGGCTTCCTAATATAACTAAAAAAGCTTAGTAAGTTAACTAAGCACGTCTCAAAATGTAAAGCACGAAAAAACAATAAGGACACATTTCCAAAGGCTTCACACAACTAACCGCTAGGGTTTTTTCTTTCTCAAATAGGCTACTACACCCCTTTTCTCAGTGTAAATTGGTTTCTTATTTTGAAAACAAACTACTCAATATCAAAATAAAGTTTATTCAAATTGGCAGGAAATCTCGGGTTCATATGTTTTTTTCCATATGCTTATTCTACTAAATGAGATTTAAAAAGTGACCGTATTTGCTTTCCTGTTAAATTAACTTATTTTTTAACAAAAAGTGAGGAAATTACACATCTTTGGCATAAGAGTTACAAAAAGACATTATTGGGGATGTACTGTAAAAGGTTACATATGTAGAGTGGTACAGTAGTGCCATGGTTAGCAATGCTGCCTCACAGCATTGGGGCCCTAGGTCCAAGTCCTAGGGTGCAATCTGTGTGGAGTTTGCATGGTCTCCCCCATGTTCGTGTGGATTTCCCCCGGGTGCTCTAGTTTCCTCCCACAATCCATGCTGGTAGGTTAATTGGCCTCTGGGAAAACTGGCCCCTGGCATGATTGTATGCATACTGTTACTTTGTGTCTGTCTGTGCCCTGCGATGCACTGGTGTCCTGTCCAAGGTGTATCCTGCTGTGCACCCATTGTTTGCCAGGTTAGACTCCCCCATGAGCGTGTTTTGGATAAAGCAGATAGAAAATTGATGGAATTTGGTAGTACTAACTACCAAACAGCTTGATAACTCAAATGGCCTCCTCTCTTTCATAACCTTCCTTATGTTCTTTAGTAAAGTTTACAAGAAGTTGAGGGAAAGTTGATTTTTTTAAAAGTCATCACTTACAGGGCTCTTTGTAATACAGTTACAATATAAAGTACTACATTAACTCTTAGAATTATTTTCCACAACAACTTCTTATAATTTAAAAATTAAGTCCTTACTTTTGTCCTTTACACAAGGAACTTAAAATTGTTTTTAAAGTATCTTTACCCAGCATCCTAAAAGACACATTTTTTATTTCCAGTAGGTAAATTGTAACATTGGAAGTTCAAACATTTCAAGTTTAAAAAAATCTAAATACATTTATTTTATAAACTCTGTGTTTTCACAGTTAACCTGTGAAACACACCTACTGACTTCCGCACCGGACTCCTCCCTGCAGATTTACAGTAGCACACTGTGTCATCACAGCAAGGCTCCCTAGAGGCAGGGACATTATGTCACAGGCCAGGCAGGCAGCACGCCTCTATATAACACCCCGTACTTGCTCCAGCTTATTACACTGCTACTCAAAATAGGATGGATACAATGCAGCCAGAAAATGCTATTTTAAAGGAGGGGTTCTTGGTCAAGCGGGTAAGGTTTTTCTTATAAAAAGCAGCCAATGTCAACACATCTAAATTACAATAAGTTAAAATAGAATTATATTTGATTTCTTCATTACGGCAGGTCTGTCAGTCTTATGAGTGCAATTGTAGTTTATAGTATTCATTCGAAATATGTTGATGTGATTTGGTTTCCAACTTTCAGTAATAATTTTTTTCAAGTATTTTGGACAACACATGCAGTTTAATTAGACATGTAAAGCAGCTACGATAACCAGCTGAAGATCCATATTCTATGCTGTATCACACAATGCCAGAAAAGACGGTCTGGATGGAAAATATTCTGGTTATTATATACTCATGAGCGCATAGGTCATTAGAACACAAAATGCACTTCTTTAAGTTTTGTAAACCAAACCATTGCAGGGACACATTGTTCAGAACTGGAAGGTACGCTGGTTCGTGCTGTTGCCGGACAGGCTTCTCTACTACAAATATGACTGCAGCAGAAAGGACTCAAGCCTGCGGGGCAAGGTGCTCCTGCTGGGGTGCCAACTAACTTGCCCCTGCCTGGAATATGAGAACAGACCGGTAAGCACAGAATGAGATAAATCCACAAGAGTGGCATATTTAACAATACCAATGTAATAATACCTGAAGAAAACAGATTTTCTTGGCTCACTCCCATTTTTATAGTGGTACAATGAGAAAATATTGATTAATTCAGTTATTAAGAAACTAGATCATAATTATTGCTTGTTAAGGCAATTACATTTTTACGGAAATGTGTTCCATAGGAGTTAAGATTAGAAGGTTCGTAGAACAGAGGCTGGATTTAATTTTAAAGTGAACCTCACAGGACACACTGATTAAATAAAAATGGATTGATTGAGCCATATGACAGTTAATAAGGTATGAGTTATCACAACAGTGTTTAGAGAGGAAGCAAGGGGACTCCCTTGACAATGTGACTACATAATGTTACACAAATTACATCTGAAGGTAGAAGTGGAGTTGAATGCTCCCTGGACTAGGCTGAGGGGGAGTGAAGGATTTGGATTGAGTTTAGAGATGTAATAACCTTCCAGTACCCAGGAAGAGAGCCTGCTATAATAGCAATGGCCAATTCTGGGACTCCTTCTCTCAGTTGTTACTAGCCCAGATAGAGCCAGACAGCAGTTTAAAACCTACATAGCTGTTATATAGGTAAACACTGAAATACGTGTGTGGCACATAATTAAAGTGTAGCACTACATACAAAAATCCACATTATCATAAATCTGTAATGATTTAATGGACCCAAGCAGCTATTTGCTCAGATAGAAGCTAGTTATTATGGTGCACATCAGTTATTATGGTGGAACTGCACTGACACTATCAAGTTTGGTGACTGAATGAGCATGCAGGTCTGTGACAGAATTCTAGTTTAGCCCAACTTTCAACTTTTAACTTTGTGTGTTTTAGTTTCCAGCTAAAACACAGTACTGAATGGGTCATTAATTAGACCCTAAAGGACTCAATATTATCATACAGCATTATACAGCAATAGGTTCTTTCAACAAGACTTTGTCATGGATGATGATCCTTGAGTAATGTACACACTTTTTGAAAACTCTTATGCATTTATTAAATGTATCATTGCTCCTGCACTGCATTACTTAACTATTGTAATGGAAGTTACTGAAGAAAAGTGTTTTATCCTAAAAATGTCGTTTATGGGCAGAGCTGTGCTGTAAAAGCTGCTGGATTCTATGAACAAAGTGTGATTGTACCCAGCGAGTCAAGGCCAAGGGATGTTCTAAGAATATGTTTATCTCTGCAAAAAAGGCAGATACAAAACTGCACGTAGCTGTCTTCTCTGTCCTTCAAGGCTAAGACCTATAAGTACTGGAAAATTACTGTCTTGCCTGTCTTTGTATTACTAACCAACCATAATGAAGTAAACAAGTTGAGGTGTTGCATTAGCTAAGTGTATAAAATAAGGGACCTTTCTCTATTTTACTTTGGAAAATCAGCTCGCACTTGCTGCACAGACTAGTGGTTGCTGTCTTTCCTTATTGCGCAATATGAATAAATGCCTTACTGAGTAAATGAGAACACCTTTCCTGGCTCTTCTTTGATAAAGATTCCACGACACTATGTATCATAAAGCAACATGGCAAGACTTGTACAGATACACAGTTATTTCCCAATGTTGTCTTTTTTTCTTTTTTAAAATTTAGAAATGATTTTTATTTGTGTTGTGTTGGAACAGTCAGTTATGTGTTTTTCACATCTCAGCTCACAGCTTTGAGCCCCTCGCCCGCACAAAGGAGAGGTAGACTCCTCCAACCTGCTCACCTTAGAGCAATTTGTCTTTTAACTAGTCACAGGCAACACAGCTGCCGGAGGTTCTAGACTAATTGTACAAGTGGTGCACCCCTCATTGTCAGCACTGCATGCTTAAAAGGCACCAGGAGGTCACAGGTGTCTCTGTGTTGCTAAGAGTTAAGAGAGCCAATTTTTAAAATAAACACCAACTAACACCACTCCACTCCCTCTCCACCAATTAGTCACTACCAATTTGGGAATCCCTGTCATAGTTGGGTAGTGACATGACTCAACCCATCAATCTGTACTTAGAGAGAGGGCCTTTACCTTAGCACTGGAGGTCCCCCAATGTTCTCTTTTAAGAAATGTTCTCTGTTCTAAAAAGCAATCTGTGGTAGCACAAGCTTTGTCATCTTTTTGAGGTTTTTGATGTGCATAATTGGGTATAAAATGTATTCATGCTTGCCTTTCTTCTCTAAACAGCTTGTCATTAAACTGAGAACCCAGAAATCTGCGGAGTACTTCCTTGAAGCATGTTCACGGGAGGAGCGAGACACCTGGGCTGACAGCATCACAGCTGTAATCCAAAACCTATGCCCTGGAAAAGCCCAGAAGACTCTGTCTGAACAAACTCCTCTACAGATGAACAATATCAGTCTGAAGTACATATTCAATGCACCCAACAGATATGTCTCTTCCCAGTGCAGAATTGCTAACTACAGTATATTAAGTCAGATAATTAAATCTTTGTTAAAGAAAGCCATCAAATAACTTTGATATATAATTTTTTCAGTGTACCTTTCAAATATTGTATCTCATGAAACTATTTCATTATATTTAGACCACAATTAAAAATAATCATCAACTTCCCAATCCATGGTAAAATTCCATATTCTATGTACACAATGCTGACTTTCCATCTAGCAAATACAAGGAAACTCTGGAATAAAAAATCTGCCTTTGACCAACATATTTGGGAATTGTGTCAACTGTTTGGGTCTCACGTATAATTTAATCCAGGCCTACTTCATTGGAATTTCACTGTGAAAGTGTTAAATTAGTGTTGTTGCGTGGTATTGCGTACATTTCCTTCACTTGTATGGTTTTGTTTTCTAGTCAGGTGGTGGATTCGATGCATGATGTTCACAGCGGGATCAAACTCACAAACAATGTGGAACAAGGCAGCTACTTCAAGAACTGTTTCTCAGGTAGGTTTGTTCCAGATCATGTACTGACTTCCACAATGAAGACTGTGAGTTGTTGGTGGTGTGACAGTCTTACTTATACTGTGCAACATCAGTAGCCCACTAATAAATGTGATGGAACAAATAGTATGTACTTTTGAAACACACAGGCTGTTCTAAAAGTACTACTATCTTGTAATATTACTATGCATCATTACATTCTCACTCCAACCTTTAATTTCTTGAATTGTATAAAAAAACATGCTGCATGATTCAGTGATTGTAAGTAACACCTGTAACAACTAACAGTTTGTAACAAACACCTTTTGCAAATGTTTTGATGTTAGATGTTATTCTTTTTGCTTCAATTAGAGGAGATGAATACAGTACATCAGGTCAAGAGCTCGAAATTACAGAGAGAAAGCTTAATTTTTGACAATAGTGGATTATAGACAAACTGATGAAAATAGTAGTTTTGTATCAAGATCTGGCTATAGAAACTGGTGTTGGAGATATTCAGAATATTGGTCATGGAAATGTTAATTGTATACTGTATCCATCCATGTATACAAGCATGCATCTACGCTTGATTACGGCAGTCAAGTGACAATGTGGGATGCTCACTGCAGGCTCTGCTATGGTGGACTGGCTGGTGTCCATGAGCTTCGTTGTGACGCGTAAGGAGGCCGTCACCCTGGCCTCAGCTCTGATGGAGGAGAGCTATGTGAAGCCTGTTGGAATCAAGAGCATGGAGGCCATCAGGAACAGCAACATGACAGAACAGTTTTTAGATGACTCCACATCACTCTATGCTCTAGTAAGTGCAGTGTCACATAAAAGAACGTACCACTGAAGGGAGTTCAATTCACTTTCAGCTGCATCAATGAAACAGGACAGTTAGCTGAGAACCTATAAATGGAAAAGAACAGAAAAAATACAGCTTATTTTAGACTTTCAAAAGCCCTTTGTGTAAAAATGTGCCCTAAACGCAGTTTTAAATGCATTTCACTTACCTGCATTCCACCTGTGAACCCACTTGTGTCTTTTGTGGTTGTTTCACTTTTTTTTAAAATCACTGGGTTGACTTTGTCAAAGACTTTGAGGATTTTGTAATCTTGCAACAGGTCCCCCATAGTCTTGTCTGTTCACAACTAAAAGTTTCAGTTCTTTCAGCCATCTGTACTGTTCTGTTCTGTCAGTATCGGAAATTCCTTTAAGCCATGTAGTGTATCTAGTTTGCTCTTCTTTGCAGTAACTCCAGAGTAGCAATTTCCTTTCTGTAACTTGGTGACCAAAATAGTACACAATATTTATATTGTGAGTCTTAGTAGTCCATTGTACCAGTTTAAGTGTTTTTTAATCCTTCTGTTCTGGTATTTTCTTTGAAAATGACTTGTAGAATGTACATAAACAAGATACCTTTTCTTGTTTATCCTTCAAAGGCAGAAAGCTTTAAGAGGAAAGCAAGTGTGAAGTCAGGTGCGTCTCTCTCTGCTTTGGAGCTCAGTGGGAAAGTTGTGAAGAGAGGCTATCTGCTCAAGCAAGTAAGTTCACAAGCTCAGCTCTTATTCTTACTTGAGTGTAGAGAGAGCATTCCACACTTGTAGGTCCAACATTGATTCAATGTCATCTAGGCTGCACACAGATATCCACCATACAGACAATGACATGAACAGTGAACAGAACACTGACTCTTATGTACTCACACAGGGCAAGATGGAAACTCCTTGTCATTGAGTGGATAATCAATTTGTATCAAGTAGGGGTTTAAGATTTTTGTTTTAAGTTAGAATATGTCTAATTTTATGCTGTTAGTCATTCTAGACAATGACATACAGCTGTTAATGTGGTAAAGATTTTGTAGCAAAAGCTTTGGATGGGTTTTGTGACCTGAAGATCATTGTCCACTGGCCATGACAAGGAGTTTAAAATAGAAAATTAGCAAAGCAATCTTATTCTTCAGGTCATTTTCAATAGAGCACCTTGATTAACACTTTAAGATTTCAGAATGAAAACCATGTTTGTCAGGTCATTTTAATTCACCCACAGAATTACAAGGCTGTGGTTATACAGTATGTGATATTGTAAAGGAAAAACCTTGACTATTTACTTAATTCACACCCTTCCCTTCCAGTTTGCATTGCACTGTGAAGGTGAATCCTGTGAAGCCTAAGTGTTTGAAATTTGATCTGCTTACTATTTAGAGTACTGGTGAACCGAGGGCTGTGACTATTTACTGTTTTACTGGTGCCATTTTTTTTCCCTAACAGGGTCACAAGAGGAAGAACTGGAATGTGAGGCTGTTTGTGTTGAGAACAGAGCCGGGGTATTTGCACTACTATGACCCCAGCAGGGTAAGGCACTATGTTTTTCCCCATCAAAACCATCAACACGGGCTGAATTCTTTGTACTGTGCTATTCTAAAACTTCGGAGATGGGGTTTTGCCATTACACTCCTGGTTTACTTCTACAGTTGATTACATTGTACATACTGTATTATTAAATGTTAATCATGTTCTATCAGCTATGCAATCAAACCTATAACCACACAATTTGAGCAATACTGAACTTGCCTTTTTCCAAGAATGATAACTACTTAGAAACCACAAATGGCATACTTTCCTGTTTATTGTTAGGTTATTGTTGTATCCCTTGGGTAGGGATAATTAAAGAAAATAGAAACATCTAGCATTTAAGAGTGGATAAAAGCACACAGATGTGAATTAAATAATAGTTTCAAAATAACATCAGAATGCCATTGAGTTCAGTTTTCAATTAAAAATGTTATGATGTTGTTTTCAGTTTCTTGAAGGTGGATGTAGATAATCATGTTTTCCAAAGACTCTTCATTATAATCTTTGCAAAATAAATGTAAGTACATCTATATTAGGTTTCAGTGTCAATTCAAGAGGATTTGTTTTTCAGGAACATGTCAGTCCTGTGGGAGGGTTTCCTTTGCGAGGCTGTCTTATTTCTTCATTAGATGACAATGGGGTTCCCTCAGGTAAGACTAACCCCTAAGAACAGAATGGCAAACTGGCACTGATTGGTCAATTAAGAGCTGGGCATCAAGTACCTGAGCTACATTTATTTACTTACATTGCAATGATTTAGGAGATATACTCCTGTCACCATTGACACATTCTAACAACCTGTAGCCTGATTTGGCTAGATACCTGAAGCTAAGCAAGAGCTGCATCAGGTCAGTACTGGGGCGGGAAACCTACAACGAAACGCTGCTGGCGGACCAGTAGGTGGCACTCTTCCCTTTGGACCAGAATTTCCAAACTAGTGCCAAAAAGTATGGTGACCACGGACTCTACAGCATGTATGAGATGCTGTCCTTCATATGATATTAAACACGGGTCTTAACTACTTCATCATTAAAGATCACATGGCATTGTTCATTAGAGTAGTGGTGTTAACACCAGTGCCCAGGCTGAATTCTACTTTGGGCTTGAACAGTCTGGCCTCCTACAGCATGAGTCTAGCTACTCATATGTAGAAGGAATCTGACCTTATGGCCTGCTAGCAGAAAATCTGTGTATTAAGCATAATGATACAATGACATTATGCTTTAATGACATGACAGTGTTCAGAGTTAACTTCAGAGCTTTCTCCTTTCTGTCACAATATTGTTTTGTATTCCAGATAATCCAAAAATTAATAAATTCAAAGAACATTAAGATCAAAGCATGTTTCACATGCTGCTAAAATTCACATGTATTCTACACACTTAATTGTTTTCCTTATAGTTTTAGACTTTTAATTATTCTTCACGGTGGAACATATAGTTATTTTACTGTTGATACCAGCTCAGGAAGCCTATCTGTGTGCATTCCACGTTTCGGCCATGGAGCCTTCTTCAGGTGTGCTCAGGCACACCTGAAGAAGGCTCCACGGCCGAAACGTTGTGTTCTCTTTCTTCTTTTTTTCAGCATGGAATAAACCTATTACTTGTTCCTTTGCAGCCTACGCATGCTGACGCAGCTACCCACCTGAACTACTATCTGTGTGCATGTTTATGTTCTCCTCATTTTTGAGCTTGTTTTATACAAATACTGGGTTTTCTCCCCACTTCCCTAAGATGTGCTGGTTTGATTTGCCAATTGTCCTTTCTTTGTCTCACTGTAATAAACTTGGGGGTTATATTTATATAATCTATATAATTAAGCTCTCCTTTAATTCAATAGATAAAATTATTTTTCATTGTCTGAGCTGCTGTGCAAGTGGACTTGCTGGTACATAATGGTTGCTGACATCACTCAAGTAGGTACACCTAATCCTCAAAGGTGGATGAATTGGGTCCCTTCCTACACGTTGAGTACTTTAGGATACTTTGAGGTATACATTTATAGCATTATTGTTAACAATTTTTTTGTTTGTTGTTAATTTTTTCAAAGGTGTGAAGGGTAAGGTGCAAGGAAATCTCTTCAAAATAATAACTCAGAATGACACACACTACTTCATTCAGGCAACATCAAGGGAAGAAAAGATGGACTGGATTGTTGCCATAAAGCAGCTGACTTAGACCTGGAGCTAACTAATGTAAATGGACATCGGTCTTCACTCCTGCCATTATACAGTGAAAAACTAGAATCTCTTTAATTAAATTTCAGAGCTGCTGTTGCATACTGTTGAACTGCACTTTAGAAATCACTTTTCACAATCCAAGTGTTTCCTCCACACGGATGTAGTTGATTCAGAAAAAACACTCCTCTCAGAAAACTGTCTTTTAATGGGTATTGCAAATTGACCACTATGGCATCAAACAAACTCAGAGTGTGCTAAAGAACAGGATTTGATTTTCACTGGTTTATTGCTCTAAGCCATCTTTGATGTTGGTAGAAAAGGAATCAGTTTAAAGATTAAATGAATTTATAATGCAATTGTACAACATTTGTTTCATACATTCTGTGAATGTGACTTGATTGATTAAATATAATGATTTTTCACTTTTTTTAGACATGATTGATATGATTCCTTTGTTTGAGAATATATGTAACAATATTGTTTGAGCTATTCATTTCTTAGGTTTATGTTCTTATCATGTTTTGTTTTTTGTATTTGCATGGTTATACTACATGCTTATTTTGAATTAAGAAACTATTATAGTTTCTAGGTTGTAGTATTTATTTAAAGTTTACAGATTTTATTACCACCACTGTTTTGTCTATCCTTTCAGCGTAAAATTTGATTGAAGTATTGTTTCTACATGTCATATGATATGGGAATAAATAATGTTATTTTCTTTATTTTAACATTTTTTTTTATTTAAGGAAAATACACTTTTACTGTACAAAATCTGTTAGATGGATAAGACTTTATTGATCCCAAAGGGAAATTGATATGTTACAGCAGCCCAAGACAAGCAAAAAAAAAAAACAGACATCAGGATAGACAAAAAATTAGAATATGTACAGTAATACAAAATATAAAATAAATAAATAAAAATAAATACATAGGTGTGTGCAAAATATGATCATAGTCACTGTAAAATCAATAAAATATGTGCAAAATGTGCATAGGTATATACAGATTGAGTGTCCAAAAAGTAAAATGGAGCAACATGCTGTCCATAGACGAGCAAATGAAGGGCTAATAGTCCTAGCCTAGGGCAGCGTTATACACCTGACAGCCGCTGGGAGGAAAGACCTGTGGAAATGTTCCCTTGAACACCGTAGCTGGAGCAGTCTGTTGGTAAAAGTGCTCCGCTGCCCAATATGGGGGAATGGCATTAAGGTTTGCTGAAACCATTTCTTTAGTGTGTACAGAGCTGTAGAGTTAATTTCAGGAAGCTTTCTCATTTCAGTCTCAATATTGTTTTGTATTCCAGATAATCCAAAATCAATAAATTCAAAGAACTTCAAGATGAAAGCATGCTTTTAATACTAAAATCCACGTGTTCTATACACTATATTGTTTCTTCCTACATTTTTCTGACTTTTATTATTCTTCACTTGGTGGATTATTCTATATGGTGACGTTTCTGTTGATTCCAGCTCGGGAAGCCACTGTGTGTGTGCCATATTCACATTCTCCTCTTGTTTGAGCTTGTTTTATACAGATACTAAAGAGTTACCCCACTTCCCGAAAATATGCTGGCTGAGTTTGATTTGCTAATTGCCCTTTCTCTGTGGCACTGTATTGAACTAGTGTCCCATCTAGGGGAAGAGTGGTTGTGTGCCTTGTGGCCTATGCTTACACGATAAGCTTGCAGTAGTGCTCACCCGGTTTAGTCGTGAACTGTTTAATGACAGATGAATATTCTGTCACAAATCATACTCCCGCGTGCACCTCCCGGTGTACAGACCTGCGCCGCTGTTAGCAATTAGCACGGCACTCCCCGCTTTCACATACTGTATAAACCCCTTAACTCCGTTCACTCTTCGCTCACTGTTGAGTTAGTCATAGCCTTTCTCTTGTGCGCTTTTCTTCATTTACTGTTTACTGGATACCGACCCCGCTCTGCCTCGCGTCTCTTGGATTTGTTTACCTTGCTGCCTCGACCTCTGGACTCCCGACCTAGCCTGGTTACTCCGACCTCAAGCTTCGTCTCTCATCCCTTGGAAGTCTGATCTGATTCCTATTGGCACCGCATAGGGTCCGAACCTCTACACCACTGGTCCTCATTCATTAGTGTGATATATTCTCTACCTGAACCTGCAGAAAATACATTGCTAATAGATAACTGCAGTTGCAGTTTGTATATACTGACCACTAATAGGCACCAGTCCACAGAGGCTTCGAAAGATACTTGGTAGACTCTCACTCGTGTGTATGTATCCTGGGTCTCTTTGATGATTGCTGATCACAATTGGGTATGTAAGAGTCTAAAAAGATTAGCTGGGTGGCATTTGAAAAAAAAAATTATAAGGCAGTTCAAACCTTGCTTTAAACTGTAAAACTATAAATTACTATTCCCATGAAGTGTTTGTGTATGGGGAGTGTTCGTAAAAGCAAATTGTGTAGGGGGAATATTTGTCAATGGCATACTGCGTCAGACTGCTTATGCATTCCCACCATAGACCTAATACCCTCCCATGCAGAGCGTGAGTTACCCTTGCACAATGCTTCCTTCACTTTAACTTTATACATAGGTTTAGCCTTCTTAATCTCTCTTTTAACCTTGATGTAAAGTGATTTTTTTTTTTCCGATTAAGATCTGATTTGAGAGATTTGGTCACCCAGGGCTTATTGTTAGGATATACATTGCAAGATTTTAGAGGTATAACAGTATTTTCACGGAAAGAGACATAACTTGTGATCGTATCTGTCAGTTCATTGAGATCAGAGCACGAGTACTTAAACATGTCCCAATCCGTGCACTCGTAGCAATCCTGCATTCGCTGTATGGAGTCTTCAGTCCTGACCGGCACCTCTCTTCGTTTGATTTTACCTCTCTTCAGGGCCGTTTTATAGGTTGGAATTAAATGCACAGCGTTGTGGTCAGAAGATCCCAATGGTGCTTTGGCGACATATTTGTAATCTCCCCTCACTGTGTAACACATATCCCATACCCTATTATGCCTTGTAAGGTAACATATTGATGGAAATAGTGGCATGAAGCAAGCTACACTAAGCGACACGAATGATCCGGAAGTGTATGTAAATTTCAATCAAAATAAAAGCCTTCAGCTACCACAGGAGTATAGTATGAGGAGTATAGCAACATTAAGCGAAGTGACAAGCAGCTGAAACACCTGCTTTGTTATTTCTTCTTGATTAACTGTAATTCCTTGAACATTCTGCCAAAATTTGAGAGGGTCCTTTTTTAATTTTAAATCGCCTCCACTAATCAAGTTTGACAAATCTAAGATTATAAGAGGTTTTCTATTAGTTTTACAGCACCTTTCCTACATTTCTACCACTGTAAAAATTGTCATTGCTATTTTTTTTCATAGATTTTTTTTTCTGTTCAATGAAAAAGATTTTAAGATGTAAGCTTTTAAAGGCGCTGTATCTGAAATTTGTAATTAAATCAAATCAAATCTTTTATCATATTTAAATTCAATCAGTTTTTAAACCAGGGACAAAAACATTTTTTGCACCATCAAAAGTGGTGAAACATACAATGTTAATACAGTCAGCCGATAGCAAATCACCTTTCTTCATTCATTTTAAGCCTTTATTAATATTGTTGGCTTGGGTGGATCACCTCTAGAAAAACTGCAGTGCAGAATTGGATGGGGAAAATTTGTACCTCCCCAAAGGTGGATGGAATCTATTGCACAGACCCTCAGCTACTAGAAAATGACCTTGTTTTTGTTGGATAAGTGTCTCAGTCAAAACTGCTGGGGTTTATAGAGCACCTCCCATTCCCAGACTGGGACTGTGCAGTGATGGACAGGGAGCAGTCTTACCCCCCTCCCGACCAAACCAAAATTTGTGCCTCCTCAAAAATACCTCAAATCTATTCTACAGACACTCAGCTAATTGAAAATCACCATGGTTTTGTCAGATAGGAGGCTTTGCTAAAGTTGCTGGGGTTTATAGAGCACCTCCCATTCCCAGACTGGGACCGTGCAGCAATGGACAGGGAGCAGTCTCACCCCCCTCCCGACTAAACAAAAATTTGTGCCTCAACAAAAATACATCAGATCTACTCTACAGACGCTCAGCTAATAGTACATAACCATGGTTTTGTCAAATAAGTGTTTTTGCTAAAGTTGCCCGGGTTTATAAGACCACTTGCTGTTCCCAGGCTGGGACCGTGCAGTGATGGTGCAGGGAAAAGTGTAAACAACAACCGTGATCCCAACCAAAGTAATGCTGACACTGAAGATCATAGTATTGCGACCAAAACCATATCTGTGACACGGGGTAAGTGTACAATAAAAAAAAACAGTAATTAGGCACAGAGTGGATGACTAGCAATGTTTTAAAAAGGCATAAACTGTAATAATAATAATTGCTTACACTTATATAGCACTTTTCTGGAAACTCCACCAAAAGCGCTTTACAGGTAATGGAGACTCCTCTCCACCACCACCAATGTGCAGCATCCACCTGGATGATGCAACGGCAGCCAAAGTGCGCCAGAACACTCACCACACATCAGCTATCAGAGGGGAGGAGAGCAGAGTAATGAAGCCATATTCATAGATGGGGATTATTAGGAGGCCATGATTGGTAAGGGCCATTGGGAAATGTAGCCAGGACACTGGTGTTACACCCCTGCTCTTTTAGAGAAACACCCTGGGATTTTTAATGACCACAGAGAGTCAGGACCTCGGTTTTACATCTCATCAGAAGGTAATGCATCTGTAAATCACCCAACAGACAAAAAAACAAAGGTGGAGTGCGATGCTTGCAATGAATGGTTTAACTTTGGTGCTCAAACAGCGCTGGATCATCTAATTTGTGGGGACAATAAACAGATGGTTTCCCAGGGTAGGGAGGTCAAGCTAAATGATGACACAGATGTGGAAAGTAGTATTGCATGTAGTGCATCCGTCACCCAAGGAAATTGTTCCTCATGTTATTACTTCTGAAAGCAAAATGCACAGTATGGATGCCTGCAGAAGTGATGTCGATGGTATGAATCTAGATGGTAGCTGTTATGAGAACACCCCTGAAATTAAAACACACAAGATAAGGCACCCAGACGATACTGAGGACCTGACACTAGGTTGAGAGCACAGTGGTAATTTTCCAAACCAGCTGTAATAACCCAGGAAACTTTGCAGAGATAATTTTATCAGAAAAGGCCGAGGTGAAGTTTTTCAGAAGCACAGTATAAACAAAATCACACTTTTCCCTTTCCCAGGAACTGCCTTTGCTGCCTTAGTGCAGCATCTCAATGGAAGGTAATTCAGCAAGTATATATGGGAACAGGTGTTTGCAGCATAAATCAATGAGACGAACCAACATTGTGTCATAATGTTTAAGTCCTGCAGTTTTAACAACTGTATTAGGAGATGTTCTAGGAACCCCTGTATCTGAAAATACATGGGAACTGTGGTCATAAGTCCTGTAAAATGAATTTTATCACCCCTGAAACCCTGCAAAATCTAACTCTTCAGGTAGTTTACAGAAGGCTAACAGAGCATCCTTGTGAGACTTTAAAAGCAAGACCATCTAGTAAACATGAAGGACAGAAATTGGGAGAGGAAATGATAAACGTCAGGGTGTATAAATTATATAATGACTTGCTAGGAAAGGCGCAAATAACATTTGAGGTTGGGTGCAGCACATCCAGT